GTTGAGATGTGCGTATGTGACTGTAGATTGAGATGTGCGTATGTGACTGTAGATTGAGATGTGCGTATGTGACTGTAGATTGAGATGTGCGTATGTTACTGTAGATTGAGATGTGCGTATTTGACTGTAGGTTGAGATGTGTGTATGTGACTGTAGGTTGAGATGTGCGTATGTGACTGTAGATTGAGATGTGCGTATTTGACTGTAGGTTGAGATGTGCGTATGTGACTGTAGATTGAGATGTGCGTATGTGACTCAGACTGTATGTAAATATTTACCAGTTTACAATATGCCACAGTCGACTGGCCAAACATTCAACTCCGTGCGGAGCACGGGTATTTGCTAGTATAATTATAATCTCATTAGCGATAATTAGAGCTCCCACGCAAAACCTCCCGTGTCTACCACACACGTGTCGTCGGGGGGGGGGGGTCGCATAACTAGTATCAAGAGCAGATAAAGAAGGTATCTTCTTTATCTGCTCTTGCTAGTATGTGTTGACGGAACTAGGTGTTGTTTTCGCGAGCGACAACGGTGTGATTACGGCAACGCCCCGGCACTGGTATCTATCCTGTATACACGACCTGAGAAGGCGGTAAAGGTAAATAAATAATAACAGAATGTCACCGGGAAGTCAAGTCTAGGCGTCCCACTTATTTCGAGCATGGACTCGCCTACCTAGACTGACGTGCCTTCGTCGAATTATAAAACAAGAAATTTATCACCTTGCTATTTTGCGGTCAGGTTAGCGTACAAGCGTAAACTGAGTAACTTTCTGGTCAAGTCTAAAGTGCACCGGTGTTTTCGGGTTAGCAACAACACCCCATGCCCTCTATATCCTACGTTAGCGGATAATATCTCGTTTATCGCCCCCGAGCTGCCACAGGCACTTGGAAGGTTTCAATAATAAAATGTAACGGTAAATAAACACGAAATGTATTTACTACCAAAGTCTTTATGTTTATATGTTCTCTATCGACGAGTAATTCCACGTAAATGCCGTTAAATTGCTCCTCCGCAACACATAGTCTCAGCGCACTGTGCTCAGAGCACGCCACTGTGCGCTAACTACAAAAATATAGTTTTTGTTGTTTTTGTTCTTTATATTCTTGTTGTTTGTGCACAGCGGCGTTCGTGCGGTGGACGTGTGTTTTGCAGAAGAACATTTGAACGGAATTTACAGGAAATTATTACTAATAATAGACGAAAGAGAGTAGAGAAACATTAAGACTTTGGTAGTAAATAGATCTCGCGTTTATTCACCATGATTTTATTACTGAAATGTCTCAAGTGCCTGTGCGAGCGTCAGCGGTCGCAACCCAAGTCATACACTCTGCTAGATATAAAAGACGCCCTAATAGATAGATATATAGACGCAAAAAACTCTGCTAGACAGACGCTTAAAACTCTGCTAGAGAGAGAGAGAGAGAGAGCTCGACGCTCTCAGGGTGTAAACAACTCCAGTCCCCTCCCCTCACTTCCCGCCTCCCGGCATCCTCGGGCATCATCGGTACCCCTGGGCGTGGTATTTCCGCCGCCGGCAAAGACTATAGTTCTTCACGTGAACCGAGCGCTTTGTTTCCCCTATGCTGCGCATTTCGTGAGCCTGGGTTGTGCGCAGTGGCGTAGCTAGGATTTTTCCAGCGGGGGGCACTGGGGGGGCCTTACATTTT